GAGAGAGAGAGAGAGAGAGAGAGAGAGAGAGAGAGAGAGAGAGAGAGAAGATGGGGGGTAGGTAGAGGAATGAACGACGGAAGGCAAGCCCGGGAGAAAGAGTCCGGCGACTGAAACGGAGAGAGAGAGAGAGAGCGACGCAGGCAGATGGAACTCGTTTGGCTGGGGATGATAACCAGTTTAAGGGTCTGCGTTATCATATCATGTAGAAGAGCTCTCTGGCACGGGCTGGCATTCGCTGCATTCGTCAGTGAGAATGAGACTTACTAAAATATCTGCTTCTATGTTTGACATCCGTGCGTGTGTCAACCGGCTTCACCCGAATAGAACGCCCGGTAATTATCGCCGTATCTGGGTTGAAAGTTGTGCCAAATACAGATATAATGACCGGGCGTTCTATTCGGGTGAAGACGGTAGCCAGCCAGCTACGCAATCATCTTCCTGTTTTGACTGAGAAGTCTCTAGGCCGTTTGATGTCCGGCATTGTATCCATTCCATTCTTCTTCTTCCTCTTTTTTTTTTTTTTTTTGGGTTTCATTGAAGATCGACGCGTTTTCAAGGATCCTGTCAGGGTTAGGGTCTGGTGTCTGTTGTTGAGTAGGTACTCTCCCTCTTTAGTTCCAGCGGACCAAGGCAAGGTCCCACCCGCACGAGTTTCTCATTCCTAACCGTAGATTGCATCGACCGGATCAACGACCAAATCGACGACCAGAATCGGAAAGTATAGGAAAACTTTTGGATTGCTGTCATTATTAATTAAATTAACGTTTCATTTGACCTATGTTTGTCTCTCTTTGTTCTCTCTCTCTCTCTCTCTCTCTCTCTCTCTCTCTCTCTCTCTCTCTCTCTCTCTCTCTCTCTCTCTCTCTCTCTCTCTCTCTTTCTCTCTTTTTAATTTGTCGCCCTCTTTCTCCGGTCTATGTTATAAAGTTTCTCGATCCCTTGTCCCCCTCCCTCACCCCGCTTTTCAAAATCTGACTTTTTGTGTTCTTTCCGTTTTTGGTCTTTTCTATTATTGCCTGCCTGGCTGGTTGTTCTGTTCTGTTCTGTTCTGTTCTGTTCTGTTCTGTTCTGTTCTGTTCTGTTCTGTTCTGTTCTGTTCTGTTCTGTTCTGTTCTGTTCTGTTGGCTGGTGTTTGCGTCTTGATTGTGTCGTTGCATGCACACAGTAAGAATTATTATGATCTCCTCCAGGTCCCGAAGCATGCCAATGAAGCACAAATAAAACGAGCATACCACAAGCTTGCGCTTAAGTATCATCCTGACAAAAATCCAGGCAATGAGGAAGCCAAGAAGAAGTTCCAGGAGATAAGCAGTGGTGCGTGTTCTTTACCGAGTGGACCACGTTTGCTCTGATTTTTTTTTTTTTTTTTTTTTTTTTTCAAGAAAGAAGACGGTTTGAGTGTTCTTCCATAGGAAAAGATGAAGGTTGTAGAGATACCTACGTTCTTTTTAAAAAAATGATTGTCACTGGCAGTTAGGTCGTTAAATAAATAAATAAAGTCATTGACTGACGAAGGATGTACCTGTTTGTGCAATTAGCTAATGCATCATTTTATTATTATTATTATTTTTTTTTTGGGAAATAACAAAATGCTGCTTTTGTCGATTGCACGTGTTCTGTATGTGTATCTTTTGACCATTCTCCGAAGCTTCATCAGAAGTTTCGGAGATGGTACAGCTAACGTGTTGCTGTGTGTCTGCAAAAGTTTGTCACGAGTTGATAGTACAGCTAGCATGCTGCTGTGCGCCATTGAGCTGGTAGTAGCTTTGACACGAGGTAATGCAATCCCGTACGTATGTTTTGTTGGTGATGTACTTTGGAACTGCGGCAGGCTGCGCGTCATGTACTTGCATGCGACCCATGTCGCAAGTAGTCTTTGTCTGTGGTCGATGCATATGCTAGTAAACCAACGAAAGTATTATCCGTGCTAAACTTGTCCTCGCAGTCCAACAACAGTTGTGGCGGGGGCCTCTGCACCCGGTTATGTGCATAACCAACCAATTGTGTGTCATTTTTATTTATTATTATTATTTTTTCACTCCATTGATAAGTATTAATATAGTGGCATTTATAAGAAAGATTTCCGGAAAGATGGCTGAAAAATGAATGTCAAACATGGCTATCTTCTCTTTTTTGGTCAGAGGCCGGTCAAATACGAAGGCCCTTTTTTTAGGGCCCAAATTTCCCATGTTGTACTAAATTACGTACAGATTGAGGCATGCTGCACATTGCAAATTTTATAGCCTCACTGGTCTCCATGTTTATTTTTTGTGGAATCCGTTTGCCATCTTGATCTTTAAGCTGCTGCCTGTTATTGCTGCCTTTCCGGTTTCGGCAGAGTGGGTTTTGTCACTGGCCTCTGTGTTTTTGCGGACTGTGTTCGTTGTCGTAATGTTCAAGCTACAAACACCTAATGGTGTTTGCCTTTGTGGTTTCCGCCTTTGTGTCATTGCCCCCCTTCGGTTGCTTTGCGAACGATGAAAATATGATCGAATCTTTGTGTGCTGTGGTCCCATGTGCAGCGTATGAGGTCTTGTCGGACACAGAGAAACGGCAAATTTACGATCAGTATGGAGAAGAAGGGGTTAAGCAACACAATGCGGGTGGAGGACGAGGGGGCGCAGGAGGGTTCAATGATATTTTCTCACAGTAAGCGCTCTTCTCTGCCATTCTGGTCAACGACCCTGGAGTCGTAAACGTGAAGACTTTTCCGTCTCATGATTCCCAGCAAAATGACAAAACCCTTAATCCTTTACAACACTGATACCTACCTATGCCCTAAAATGACCTTTTCTCCCTGCTGGTTATCGCGCACTGTCAAGGTCCCATGGTTGATAGCCAACGAATAAGTTTGCGTGATGGGTGGGACGTACAGCCGGATGTGCTGTATCGCATGCAGACCATGCTGTATCGCATGCAGACCAACAATATACAGAGAAAGGTGGTCAACCCTTTTTCTTGTTTCTGTGGCTCGGAAGCTCTTAACGTACACAGCCCGACATGCCCAATCACATGGAGATCAATAGGAGAGGGTTACGTGTATATCCGAAGCGAGGATGCCCCTTGTACCTTTTCCTTTCCACTCCAGTAAACACATCGCTGGTGAAGATAAGATCCGGGCTGTTTCTTTCACCTGTCCGTTACAATTGGAACGATACAGAGAAGATTAGTATCGCCCCTGCGCAAGGATGACACACATAAATCTAGAAAGGGCTTAAATAAAAAATCGGTTTAGCAGTTGCAGGTTGGGACAAGCACAACGTAATCTGAAGGGCAGATTTGCGAGTTCTGAAGTTCTGTTTGTTCCGCTGGAGCAGATTCTACACGGAAAAGCCTTTTGTGTGGGACAGCCTGTTCTCTGCAGCACAGTGCGATGACATGTCTGCAGAATGTCGATAGCTCTGGAGTTCTCTGTGCGTGGGCATGACCATTTGTTGGAGCCTAAACACTGGTTCTGGAGTTCTCTGTGCATGGGCATGACCATTTGTTGGAGCCTAAACGCCGGTTCTGGGGATCTCTGGGGGTGGGCATGTGACCATTTGGAGCCTAAACACTGGCAAGAGCATCTGGCACAAGCATCGGAATCCTTAGCACAGTCACGTGGGAATAATATTTCATTTCATCTATTCTCCTATTGAAAAAAGGGTCTGTGGTGACTCAAATGGCATGCGCGTTATGTGAAGAGCTGTGCATATTACCAAGGACCGTTGTATGTGATCCTTCCGCCACTCTCAATTCTTTTGTTCAGTCCTGTTTGTGTGTTTCATTTAGTCTTGTGTGTTTCATTTGGTCTTGTGACTCCCCCCTATTGATGGCTCGTGTGACAATGAGGATGAACGGTCATGCTTTTAAACTGCTAGTACACGGCCCCAGCCTTGCAGAAAGTTTTTGTTGCCACAAGCAAAACTCGGAGGTGCCGCGCGGCCAGGCCCGCCGTTGAAAAAAAAAATCCGCGGCTTCCGAAGTGGTGCGGGTTTCGTGCTGACACCCGGGGGCCGAATCACTCCCCCTGCCAGTAAAAAATTGGGGGGCTGGTAGCACAAGTTCATGAGGGCTACCGGTAGCATAGTGTGGAGAACTGGTTGAGTGGCAAACATGGAAAATGTGTCGAATTGCCGCCGTGATTTATTTGGCGATTGAAATGATTAAAAAAATGTTTAAAAATATTTTATCCTGGAAAGAACAGGATGAAATCTACGGGTCCTCCAGTTTTTAGACTTTTTGATGCATTCTTCTGTGCACAAAAAATCACTGAAGTTGGGAGTACTTTTTTAGTCTTTTTGGCTCGAGGCACTGGGAAGATGAAAAATGTGCAGAATCGGCTCATTGATTTATTTTCACCGTTATTTCTTTTTTTTGGGATTTTTTTGATGTTTTTCCTGGAAAAATCAGAACCTAATCTATCGCTTCTCTCAAAAAAAGGACAAAAATAAAAATCTACCGGATCTCAAAATTTCAGATTTTTATGTATTCTTCTGAGCGCAAGAAGTTGTCAAACTTCGCGTTTTTTTTTTTTTTTTTTTCCTGGTCCGCTGACCTCCGCTTGAATTGCTGGCTTCCTCCGCTTCTTTCGGGCCTACCAGCCTCCGAATGTCCCAAAAAGCCAATTTTTTGACGTTGTGGGGAGTGGTGGTGTAAGGTTTAGGCTTGGCTTGTTGCACTGTGACGATGCATCAGTCACAGGTGTCTCCAGTGGGAAGGAAGAAGATAAAGATGCGCGGATAATCCAGCTAGATATGCTTCATCGCGTTAATTGTCCTTTCCACCATCAGTGTGTTTATTCTGGAATTGCATTCGTGGGTGCAGGTTTTTCGGTGGTTCTGGATTCCGGGTCAGTTTTGGTGGCGATGAGGAAGAGGAAGAAAAGACACCGAAAGGAGACGATGTTGTTGTAGAGCTTCAGGCAACTTTAGAAGATATTTACATGGGGCAAACCTTCAAGGTGCACCCTCGTTAACTTCCGCAGCAACTCATTTCCTCAATTTGCTTGGCTTGTTCTTCTTGTCAATGTCAAAGCCAGGCATGGTGATGATGCCTTGCCAAGTATCTGCTGCTCTGCTCGAGGTCGTGAGGAATGACAAACCGGGAAGAGTCAAGTCTTGTCTTTGCTATTCAGTGGTTGAAAGCCGATGCTTCTCTGTGAGCTTGAGCGAATGCAGAGTCTGGAATAGTCGAGTTTGGTCTATGCTATTTAGGTGAAGGTTGCTATTGCTCTTCGTTTCTTGGAGCCTGATCCTCACGGTTAAAGAGTCAGTTGGCAGGCAATCTGCGGATGCTTACCTGTAACTTATGGTTTCTTTGTCTGTGTTTCCCGTCCCACTCACCCACCGATATCCCCCTTCCTTTTATCTTGTTTTGCTTGTGCAAGTGACCACAGAGAGTAAGGGCCAGACGGACCCATTGGTGCTGTGTTTGGGCTATGTAGCGCGAACCTGCTGAGTCTTACGACCAGAAAAAGCATGAATATGGCATCAGTGGGGCCTGGCCTCACTATGTTTGCAGTCGTGTTCGTGGCTCCTATAGGTGCAAAGTGTCAGTAACAAAGTTAAGTAAATGAAGGAAACTGCATTGCTGTTATGCGGAGCATTGCATATTATTGTGTGAGCAGATAAAATAGTATGGTTATCACCACGTTGGGAATCGTCCCAGCTGTTATGCCTTGCTGTTATGCCGTCGATGAGCCACATGCAAAGTTGGGCATCCTCCGCCTGCACCCGCGATTGGATCTCCTCCGTCCTTGCCAGATGAGCAGCAGACGCAGCAGACGCAGCAGACTGAGGTGGAGAATAGACTCTCACATGAACCACCTACAGTGCGCCTTACTGAAAGGTTAATGCCGCCAGGGCGAGCTGTTGCAGACCAGATTGTGCAGCAGCTAAACATCTTCACTTTGGAACAGGCCCCTTCATCACCTACCCGTAGAGAGGGAATATGGGCTGCGGAAACCCAAGAACTTGCTCAATGCGGCACTGTGATGACCCGCCTGATATTTGGCTAGCATGTGATTGGCACGCTTTGTGTCGCGAGGATTGTCAAGGTATAGCCCATGCAAGTCTTTGTTTTCGTATGTTCGATGACACAGTCAACAGTGTACGCATTCGTGTACACACCCTGACATGGCGTACCCTACTTGTAGACAGGGCCTGGAATGGCAATGCCGATACATTGCGGTCGGCATGCCTCTGTCACCAAAGGTTAACAGGGACCCCCACTATTCAGCCCCAAGGTAACACCCCCAACCCTGAAAAGTGCATTGGAGATCATTTTTTTCATTTTTTTTTTTTTTGTTTTTTTTTTTGCCCTGTTTTWTTTTTGGTTAAGGTCTGTGTGTGCCAAGTTTGGTGTTTGTTGGGGTCTTGGAGTTCACTGTTTTGGCCAGCCCTGAAAATCCTGAAAACTGAAAAGAGTGAATTTTGCATGCAAACGCACTTTTGCCTTAGGGTTTAAGGCCCCTTCGATCATTTTTTTTTTGTTTTTTTTTTTTTTTGGCTGTTGTTTTTTTTGGTGTCCACTCTATGGACTGCCGACAAGTCTGGCGTAAAAGGTATGGGACGTTTGTTATAATGACCCTGAAAAAATCCTGAAAATTTAGGGCTCTGTTAACCTCTTCTTGCCTCTGTGCCCCTAGCATGTAGGAGCCAAGTAGCCTGGGGCATTTGTCGACTCTGTGCCACTCGGTGTAGCAACTGCAACTGCAACTGCAACTGCAACTGCAACTGCAACTGCAACTGCAACTGCAACTGCGAGAATTGGACGTGGTGCTTCCGCAGTCCGAACCCGAACCTGTCCTTTCAGGTCTGCAGGGGTGTCCACTTACCATAGGCAATGCCTGCTGCTCAACTCAAATTTCTCTGTAACGCCAAACACGGAATGGCCTCTTGTGCCATTTTATCGTAGTCCGCTGTGTCAGTGAGAAGTGAGAAACGTGTGAAGTTCGTCTTTCGTCTGTTCTATTCCTTGTCCCTCCACTTCCCTCCTCTTCCCCTTCTCCCTCCTCCCTCCCCTCATGTAGAACTCCTTCCCCTCCTCGTTTCCTTCCTCCCTCCCGTTGTGTAGCACAATTAAATGCAAATGAATGAGCAACATTAGGAGTAGACACATAGTGTAAGCTGATGGTGTGCTGAAAAATGAACAGGAGTATACCTCCCCCCTTACTCTGCCTCCTTTCATAGCGTGCAAGTGGGCCGTTATCCCGCACAGGGATGTGGGTAGCTCACACTTAACCACAGTCAACGTGGGGAGCCTTGGACGTGAGAGGCGCAGTAAAAGGGGAGCTGCAAGAAGAAATGAAAGAGGAAACCAGAAAAAAAGCCAAAGGAAGGAAAGCGAAGGAAGGACTGTACAAGGAAAAGGCAATATAACGGTTTTGGTGCACTTCAGGTTGTTTGCTATAGAGGTAAAGATTACTAAGACTGAATGCAGAAAATATGGTCAAAGATCTTTGCATGTGTTCTCAGATAAAATAGGTAAAGTGATGCACGGGATATGTGTACCGATAATTAGCAGATGTGAATCTGATGTGGGAACGTGTCGAGTCCCTTACTCATGTTGGATTGGCTGCCATGCTTTCCGTGTCTTCGTTTGTTTCTCTATTATGCAGATGTACAGAGATAAAAATGTGATAAAACCGGCGCCAGGGAAGCGGAAATGTAACTGCAAGAACAAAATGGTGACAAGGCAAATCGGACCTGGCATGTACCAGCAATTCACCCAGCAGGTGCTCCTTTCTCACCCTCTGCTCCCAGATTTTGATGTGAGAAATACCTTTGTATACTCATGTATGTGTGTGGGTATACGTGGGTAATCGAAAGCATTTGGAATGGGCAGTCAATGGAAAGGTTTGCAGGGATAGGCATGTGGGTGGGAGGGAGGGGGGTTGGACATGGTTTGTGCGAACACCCGTAGTGTAGACTGAGCCCTAGCTCGTTTTGGATTGTAGGTTTTTGGCTTTTTGTCAAGGTTTTTGGAAAATTGTTTGATTTTGACTGCATTCCTGCTTTGAATGCACGGCGGGGGAAAGAGGGAAAGTCTCTGCAGTGAGTCGGCAGAACGTGCCTCCCTCAGTGTTCAAGTCATCTCCTGTGGTATACTCGTGATCGGTAGTGATGTTTTGGTGGGGACTTACATGTCTCGAGACATCTCAGGCCATACTTGCACTCACAATTCTTTGACTGAATTTGTCTTTGATCGTGGTCACATTCAGTCACAAGGGTCAGAGTGGTAGTACTCCCTAAGAGTCACATTGTTTACCGCTGCACAGAGGTGCTTCGGATGTTGTTAGCACTTATAAACCACCAGCACCTCTCCCAGCTACTTTGTTCCAATGCAGTTATGAATGCGCTGCCTTTCGGAGATCGACCCGTTGGGCTCAAATGGCTGGCTGGGCGAAGCCAAAAATGAAAATAAAAGTTGCTCGTGCTGTTTTTTGTTTTTCCTTGGCGCCCGCCCCGCAACAGAATTCCCTATTGGGAGGCTCGGAGTTACTGGTGGTTTAACTTGGGACCGGCTGACTACAGTGACCTTTGATGGACTTGAGGGGCTGTTTGTCCCCATTGTGTTTATCCCTGTTCCCTTCCTAATGGGTCTCAGCATGAGAACATAGTTATGGGTCCAACTGTGAGAACATAAAATGGTAGTAGTAGTAGTAGTAGTGGTAGTAGCGGTGGTAGCAGGATCAGCATCGGTAGCAGAAGTGACAGTTCTGCTGCTGTCTGCTGCTGCTGCTGCCATGCTGCTGATACCACGGCCACTACTACTAGTATTTGAAAAATTGTTGCAACGATTATTCCAGACTGCTTTGGTGATAATGAATGCAAATCAGAATTCCATGGCCATGCTTGAAGCTAGTCAATTACATATTATACCGATTGTGTGTTTGATACTGTGGTTGCGGCAGCTGCTGAGAGGATGATGTTGTTTGCCATGAAAACTCTGCATCTGTTCACCTTTTGTCCTCGGACCAAACCCAGTCGTAAAGCAAATGAAATCTTCCTTGCAGGAGCAAAGGACAAGTGGTCGAGCACTTGTTATGCGACTAGTAGTGCTATGGTAATTCGGCTGCAGCAGCTGCTAGGAGGAGAGGTGGTTTATCGTCAAAAACATGTTAAAATTTTGCTTTCGTGTTCACCTTTTCTCCTCAAACCAGATGCAGTTCAAAAATCATCTGAAATCGTATTAAGGAGCAAAATGGGAAGTGGTCTAGCATGTGTGTTATGGGACCTTGACCCTTTCCACGCCTACTCGGTCATCCTTCGCTGTGGTGCGAAAGGGTCTGGTCTTGTTATGATTGAGTCCTCGACGCTCTTGTGGTGGTTGTCCTCTTGGTGTTTTTTTTTTTCAGGTCTGTGAAGACTGCCCGAACGTCAAGTATGAGAGGGAGGGAAGTCCAGTTACGGTGGATGTGGAGAAGGGCATGAAGGATGGTCAGGTGGGCTTATTACCTAGGCAATCACCAATTGCAAAGCTTCCTCCCGTTTTCCTCCCAGCGCTCTTCGAATCTTTGTTTATCCTGTTTTCTTGTCCTCCTGTCTTCCTAATTTTGTGTTCTTTTCTGCTCCCCCTGCGTGGTTGGAATGTTGTTGATGCTCTGTCTTTGTGACGTTTTTTTTTCGTTTTTTGTTTTGTTTTCTTGAGCCTTTTCGACGAACTGTTGGGAATGGCAATGATGTTTTCGCTAGTGAAATGGTGGAAAATGTTTGATACTGCAGTTATATTCATGGCAAAAGGTTTTGGCATATCTTATCATTTATCATTTATGCTAGCTCTCCAGCCCAGGCGCCCGGGGTACCCCACCGTGCCCGGAATGGCACCCGGGGCGCCAGGCCGGGACCTCCCCAAGCAGGCACCCGGGTGCCTCTCGCACCGAGGCTGAAAAAGCCTCACACCACCACCCTGTTCTAAACGTGCCAACTTTTTCTTTGGTGGTCGTGGTAGGCCCCATTTTGCAGGTTTTTATTTTTTGGATTCTGGCCGTCGATCTGCATCGATCGACGGGGCGTGCTGATCCAGGATTCGAATTCGAATCCTTTTCTTCCCCTTCGTTTCTTCTTCTTCTTTCTTTTTCTTCTTCTTCTTCTTCTTCTTCTTCTTCTTCTTCTTTTTCTCTTTCTGTGTTTCTTCTTTTTCTTCTTCTTCTTGCTTCTTTTTCTTTTTCTCTTTCTGTGTTTCTTCTTGTTCTTCTTGTTCTTGCTTCTTTTTCTTTTTCTCTTTCTGTGTTTTTTTCTTTTTCTTCTTCTTCTTCTCCTCCGCCCTCCTCCCTTCCTACTCTGACGTGGCGCTTCTCCTCCCTCTCTCCCTCGTTTGACGTGGTGCTTCTCCCTCCTCCCTCTGACTTGGCGCTCCTTCATCCTCCCTCCTCCCTCTGACGCGGTGCTCCAGCACAGTTGGCACACAGCAGCTGCTCTATCCCCCACCCCACAAATGGACAGTCCATAATCCAGCCCCCTCCTGCACGCCTTCCCCCCCCACAACACAGACAAATCTTT